TATGATTATGCTCAATCAACTGCTCAGCAGGCAAAATTGGTGTTTCTGGCGCGTAGAATAGAGCTAAAACATCATGGCTACTATGTCACACTGCAGAATACAGTGTTGCCACAAAACAGTTGCTTGATCATGCCATACAATTTTTAATCTCTTAAACAGTTAATAACTATTTAATTTGATGTTTGGCTGAAAAATAATATTGCGCAAAGTTGTAGCTGAGAAAATTTTCCATATGAATAGCTATAAAAAAAAATTAACAGTGCGATATGGAAGAAGGATAGAAGACTATGAGAAAAAAGTTTGGTTTATCCATAACAATTCCCATACAAACTTCAAATGGTTTGTGCCCAGACAGTTTCAAACCAAATCAGTACAAACCTTGGGAGGCTAATCATGACCTGATTTGCAACCGCTTCAGCACTGTGGAGTGAAAATGTCAAAATTTGCATCAGTCTAATGGTGATGCGTGGATCTTTTTTAATCGAACGGATTATCGTGGTGTCTGTTCGTGAATAACTTTTTTCGTTTTTGTCCTCTTCCAGCTTAATCAGCAATACTTCAAAGTAATTGCTACTTCAAATAGATCATCTGAACTGCACCACAGCTAATCTCATGCTTTTCGGCTATTTTGCGTTGCGATTCTTTTTTTGGCAATCACGGACTATGAGATTTCGAAGCTGCAGAGAAATTTTCTCTTCGCCCATTTTTGCAGCTTAGCACAACAGGCCAACTTCAGAGTTCTATAGTAGACTTTTGTGATACATATAAATAATGAAATGTCGAAACCATGAAATACGAGCGGTGTACCAATGTAATTCAGACGGCTTTAATTTACAGTTGACTGCAACTGATGTTTTTTTTTTCAATAAGTGGTTTGAAATTTAACAAATGATGCTAGAGTAAAATTAAAACATGTTTTAGAAATACAGATTTGAAAAAAAAATTGATTTGTCGCAACAATAACAAAAGTAACTCAAATAAACCTCAATTATTGCGACATTGCACAGCTGTATCGAGTCCCTCCCGATAAAGGTAACTAGGTGGTGGATAGAGCTGGGATGGCTGCAATACAAGTTATGGGCAGATACCCCATTCAAGAAGAAGGTTTCGTGATCGCCCAAATTAACGGAATATTCATATGCTACGCACCTGATGGAGGATGGAGCAATTCCACGAGACGCTGGTTGGATTTACCGAAGAGCTGATCGGACCAAGACCGGTAGTCATCGGAGGAGACTTCAATGCTTAGGCAGTGGAGTGGGGAAACAGATGTACCAACGCAAGAAGGTACATTCTGCTGGAAGCTCTGGCGAAGCTGAAAATTAGGCTGTTCAATAAAGGCACCACCAGCACTTTTCGCAGAGATGGTCGGGAATCGATTATCGACGTCACTTTATGCGGACTGCAGTGGAAAACATTAATTGTGGCAGTACAGAGGACGAGAACTTGCGACCTGAAGTGGAACCTCCTGCTGCAACGAGGCAATTAGCACCCTCCGCGCTAGTTGTCTCAGAGCCAGAAGACGTCTTCAGAGAGCAAGAACAGAAGCAGACAGAGATGAACGTAGATAAAATTTATTATTATATTTAATGTTCCGAACACATAAACGAGAGATAAAGCAGAGCAAGTCAAACTGGCAACTGGAGCTGGGTCGAGACGCTGCTGCCAACGACGCACACCGTGTCGTGATGACGAAGATCAGATGTCAAGTCATGCCCGTTGAAATGTGCTTAGAGAACCTGAAAGTCATCGTGGAAGGATTTTTCTCGAAGCACGATCCAACGACCTGGCCACCTACATCGTACGGAGACGGAGAGGGAGATAACGACGAAGTCACCAACGAGCAGCTCGTAGCAGTGCCTGCTGGATACACTCGGAAAACTCTTGGAGAGAATCATCCTAAACAGGCTGACGAAATGCACGGAGTGTGAGCAAGGATTGTCGGAAGGCAGTTCGGATTTTGAAAAGGAAAAGAAAAATTGAATGCAATTCGGACAGTTGTCGAGCGAGCCGAGAAGGCGTCGAAACAGAAGTGGAGAGGAGATCGATATTACGCTGTGATAACGATGAATGCGTTCAACAGCTCCAGCTAGGAGGCTGACGTTTGGCTTCAATAGCCACGTAGAATATGCCTACGAGAAGGCAGAGAAGGCCATCAACGCGGTAGCCAGACTCATACCGAACATCTCGGGACAGCTCCTGGCTAGTGTATACTGAGATATGGAGGTTCAGCGTTGGTTGCAGCGCTGAAAACCAAGCGGAATTTAAGCAAACCGAACAATACGTACCGGCTCAACAAACCGTACGCAATCTTTTCGAGACATTTGGTGTACCCTTTGTTGTAAAAATAGTAAACATTTGTCAGTAATTCCATTAATAATGGATAAATAATGGTTAAACTTGATTTCAAAATCATGTTGATGGTTAAAATATTCAAAAATGAAAATTTCCCGATTTTGTCAGCTTCCCAGTCTAATATTTCAGATGGGGCTGACAAAAACAGGAAAGATCAGTAGTTTGATATGACCAATAGACATTAGTAGCAGGGTTGCTTCCACTCACTTGCTATAAAGATTATTTTTTGGAATTATGAAATCATTTGATGTTATAATGATATGTTGTACTTCCCTAGTAAGCAAATACCATAAACGAACTGTATCCCGAATGAGTAAACTATCTCACAAATGGTTTGGATGATACCCCGAACACGTCGTTAAGTTCTATTTTATGGTTATTTTTATTAGGGTTGTAAGTTACAAGAAGATGTTGTAAAGTATTAGTTTGACCACAGAGAACAGACCTCCAAGCTTAAACATTTTTTTTTCGAAAAAATATGTGTAAGAATTCAAATTAAAATACGTTAGAAACCCAAGCGCCGCCATACGGAATGTCCGACTCGAGTTGTCACTTTGTGCGTTTAATCAGTAAACTGAACTAAAATTTGGGTTAACCTTGTTGACAGTGTATTCAAATGAACTGTCAAGTCAGTTCAAAACAAACAAGACAAAACAACGGAAATCAATCGAGTTGTGTGGTCAATGTGGTAAGATTTGAATAACAGGAATTCGAAAAGCCTCCGGAGGAAAGTGGTCTGAACATAACTTTTTCGTTGCAAGCGCTTGGACTCCACGTGAGAAGAAAATCTCCTGTAGTTCGGGCAATTCAGCATCCTTAGGAAAGTTGTGAAAAGATTTTCACTTGGTAACACCTTGTTTATTTGCGCACCAATGAAACTCGCACTTGCGGCCCATGTTTTGATCGGTTTTAAACAATGTTTTGCTCACAACAATTTTGACATTTATGTTAAGATGACGTCTGCCGGTCATGGACGATGGGTAGTCACCACGATATTGCTAGTTTCAAATGTCTATTCAAAATAGCGGTCAAATTTCTTACACACGTTAGGAATTTGACTTGGATGTCTGTTCTCTGTGGTTTGACTCATAAAACCTGTCAATTTCACTTTCAGAGCGTCTTAATAAGCGATTTTATGATTCGTGAGCGTTCACTTAGAGTGAGCGCTCACGAATAGTAAAATCACAAACGAAGTGACAGACAGAGCGGCTTGAAAACTTTGGTGACTAACCTGCTATTGTAATTTTTCAGTGTACCACATGGCAACACCACTACTACTAGATTGTACCACATGTCAACACTACTACTGGATTGTACTAGCATTTTCACCAAATGTATTAGAATGTTTTGGTTCTATCTCTTTCACTCTACTCAAAACTGAAATGCATAAAGAAATGACAAAATGATACACTTTTTGCACCCTGTCAAAGAATCATTGTACACAAAATCAACTTTGTTCAAATCAAAACAAAAAAACTAATCCATCTGGCGGATGATGGCACAAGCTTCCAAGAAAATTCTATTACAGTGTACCACCACAAACGAAGTGACAGACGGAGCGGCTCGAAAACTTTGGTGACTAACCTGCTATTTCAACTTTTCAGTGTACCACATGGCAACACCCCTACTACTAGATTGTACCACATGGCAACACTATTACTGGATTGTACTAGCATTTTCACCAAATGTACACACTTCGATTTTTTCGCCGAGATGGGCATTTTATTTTGCTGGATCTCAGTGAAAAACTTGCCGAGATTCAGCTAACAAACGGGAATTTTGCCGAGATCTCAGCTAACAAACATATTTTTTGCTGAATTTCCAGCAAAATAAAATGCCGAGCTGCTCGGTGGTGCCCATCTCGGCAAAAAAATCTAAGTGTGTATTAGAATGTTTTGGTTCTATCTCTTTCACTTTACTCAAAACTGAAATGCATAAAAAAAATGACAAAATGATACACTCTTTGCACACTGTCAAAGAATCATTGTACACAAAATCAACTTTGTTCAAATCAAAACAAAAAAACTAACCCATCTGGCGGATGATGGCACAAGCTTCCAAGAAAATTCTATTACAGTGTACCACATTTTTTAAATGGATTTATTCGCCAGTTAGTCGTATGTCACTTCGTTTGTGGTAAAATCGGCAATTGTGACTCTCGAAAAGTAATATTGACAGGTTTTATGAGTTTAACACATACTTTACAACCTCTTCTTGTAACTTACAAGAACTTATTATCATATTTTTAGGCTGTTTATTGACAATTCTTACAAACAAAGAGAGGACTTTTTCATCAGGCACATTTTCATCAGTTTCTTGATAGTTATTGAATATATCTAAATCATTTTTGGAACGTTGCATCTTAGAATCATTGTTGAATGGTACGTATGTGCAATTTTGATGTGATCTTTAAGGGTACTCATCTTGGCCCGGGAGGCGATCTTGCCCCGTCTACCCCTAGCTTTTATCGCCAGGCTTGCGTAAGGTCAGTCAAATATCCGACTGCCATTTAGGTTAAGCGGAGCAATGTGGATACACAAAATGTGTACATTAGAGAAAGAAACTTATTGCATAGGGTAGACTATACGTTCCTATTGTGGTACATCTTCACTATCATATAGATCATAATCGACTGGTTAACAAACCTGAAACGTTCCTCGTGAGCAGCCGGTATTGGCAGCATTGCATGTATTCTCCGTCGCCAGCTCCGTGGTCAAATATTGTTGCTGCGAATGAGAACATTCACACCGGCCCAGCTCGTTGCAGTAAGTGTAGGGATCGGCCATCTGACACTGACGGTTGTTTATGCACGCCAAACCCAACGAGACTGGCCCATCGCCAAGATCAACACGTGTCCGAATGCCTGTTGGTTGGAAAAGGAGAGAAAACGTGAAATGTGTTTTGTTGATGCGAGAGAAATACGAAAATCCTCTCTTGGTGCAACTGGAATAAAAGCTACGAAAGTTTACCATGGTGCTTTACTCTGATGCTGCCATCTATGTTTGAAGGGGGCGAAGCTGTTGTTGTGGTGGTCGTAGTAGCTTCTGGTGTAGTACTAGTCATTCGCTCTGTCGTTGTCGTTACTGGTTCTGATTCGGCTAGAAGCGTGGCAACGGTTGTTGAGATAGGGGCTTCCGGTTCCATCGCTGTCGTTCTGCTAGCCAATCGGACCATGGTCGGAGTTGTATGCTCCGGTATAGTTCCATCAATTTCGTTTTCTTTGACTTGTTTCTCGGTTTGGGATTCAGGAGTCGTTTCGTTTATTTCCGTCGTTTCAACCACGTTTGTAACTTCCTGTCGGCGGTTATTGTCATTCAGAAACTCAGTTGTTGTAGAATATCCTTCCGAGCTATCATTGGTTAACTCATACGATTCATGGCTTGTTTTGGGTGTGGAATCGTCTTCACCTTCAATCAGATTGGAATGATCTTCTCCGGAGATGTGATTGTGCTTCTCGAGAAGTTCTACCTCTTGTGGGTGGTGATTGTTCTGCTGCGTGTGATAGTAGCCATCTGATTCTTCGCCATCGTGGCTTGCGCTTTCGTATTCGTAACTTTCGTCATTGAGCCCTGTAGTCGAGGCCTCCGAAGAATATTGGTCGTAATCAGTAGATTCGTGAAAAGGGGTGGTTTCAACTGTGTCGTGTTCAACGTGGTTATGGAAATTACTTTCCGCCTCCTGTTCCACGGCCGTGTACCTTTCCGTATTCTCGTATTGGTGCATGAAAGAAGTGCTCTTGGAATCATCGTTTGATTCATTTTCCTCACTGGTGGCATATTCATCATAGCTACCACTGGCCGTCGAACTCTCCTCGCCTTGCGTTCCCTGTTGTTCCACATGGACATTCTCCTCGGCTTGTCCCATCTGCTGCTCCTGGTCGGAATTCTGCACATTTGTCATGAAATTATCAACTACGACTGAATCGTCCTCGGTGGTAGTTGAAATACGCTGCTCATCCGGTTTCTGCTGCTGTGGTTTGGCAATGATGGGCAGCTGGTCTTCCGTCTGCTGCTTTTCCTCACCCTCCACTGCAACGGCGACCGGTGATTCCACCACGCAGGATGGTCCCGCCTGGCGAGCCGGGGAAGTACACTGGCACCGGCCAAATAAATTTGGAATTAGAAAGTCGCAATGGCTGTCTTCGGCCCACATGCGACAGTGCGCGTGACTGTAGCATACCGTTCCAGGCCGGGCGGCTGGAAGTAGATAAGGGGAATAGGAGAATTTTTTAGTTCTATAGTGCGTACGTGAGTGGCGAAATGTATGGGCATCAGTCCCTAATGGTAATCATCAATTTACGGGACAGCTTTGGCGGCTTTGCTTCCGGTTGTAAGTAAATATTTATGAGTAAAGCCGAATAGACCGTTCTTATGCAATCCCAGAGAGATCTGTTGATTTTATAAATTTGAATTTCAGTCAATATTGTTTTATAAAATGTCTGGTGATCTGTCGGTGCGTTGCGATCTACCGATTTGGATGCTGTAATGTCTACAATTGTAATGGCATGTGCAAGCCACTGGAGCTACATTATCGGTATCTTTTGTTAGTTATTAGCATAAAATTGCGCTCAGTTCAAGGACAGACACAAACACAAGCACATTCAAAATTGAAGAAATGTAATAATGAATGAAAGTACGTATTTCTTTTTTTTTTCATCCAGCACTGACTGTGGCTGCTGTTCGTATGAAGCCTTATCCGAGGGGATTTACATTTGATAACGAGGTCTAGTTTAGTGCAATGACCATCTTTATCGCTCACCACTTGAATTGCATTTATTTTATCCACATTTGACACAAATAAGACGAATGTTTTAATTTCATATTTGATCAGAACTTGATAGCAATACTTTTCTGATGGAAGCCGTTCGTAAAGAAAATAAGGGTCTTCGATATAAAAAAAACAGCAACTACACTTACATCGTAGCTCAATTAAGCTTTAACAATGAAACTAACAACATCATTGATACTAATAGTGTTCCTTGCTTTCATCAATGGTCGTGCTCAATGTACTACCGAGAAAGTGGAAGGATTTGGTTTCGAGATATTGATAGCGAAGATTGAATTTGTTTTTCAAAAGTCAGTATCAATTATAAGAAATCGTTATTACATTTAGACGCTAACTAATTTTGCTTTCCTGTTCGTCAGGCTCATCGATCTGCAAATGGAAACCAACCTACAGAGGGACAATAATCGTGAATTTATGCAGGCAATGAGGTATGGTCCAGTCTCTACCTTGATATAGTCATCCAAAACATAATCTTTACCTTTACAACAGGTCAACCATGGAACAGATCAATACGTCCTTCATCTACAACAGAACGCCTTCCGGGAAATCTATTGCCCAGGGGCCGTCCTGTAAGGACAACAAATCGGAGGAATCGGGACCATACTGGCCGAACATGCCTAGATTCACACGGTATCAAATTTTCTGTCAGCAAAACTTATACGGCGGTGGATGGATCGTTTTCCAAAAGCGAACGAATGGAGTGGTTAATTTTTATCGCAACTGGAAGGAGTACAGGAAGGGATTTGGAGATTTGAGCAGTGAGTTTTGGATCGGACTGGATAAGATACATTCGGTAAGCATGTTGTATACAAAAAGCTGAAAAAAATCGTCAAACTGAATTGTTGGTCAACAGTTAACTTCGTCTGGAGAGTACGAGCTGATCGTACACTTGATGGACTTTAGGAACGTAGCAAAGTATGCCAAGTACGATCGGTTCGCTATCGGAAACGAGAGTGAAAAGTATGCATTGAAGACTCTGGGATCGCACAGTGGAACAATGGGCGATTCGTTGAGCCCGTTCGTCGGACAAAAGTTTTCGACTCATGATCAGGATAATGATGATGTGGCGGGTGACAACAGGGCCAAATCCCATCATGGCGGGTGGTGGTATGGTGAACAAAAAGCAAGGTAAGTAGATTTCAGACTACGGAAATTAAAGGATCATCAGTAACTACAATTTACTATTTTGTACATTTCAGCAATCTCAACGGATGGTACCATAATAGAGCAACTGTTGATACGATGTGTTGGTATGAATTTCACAGCACACATCAAGGGATGAAACATTCGTTAATGATGATAAGAGAAGTATTGAAGTATTGAAAAACTGCACCATCAAAATGAATCCAAAATATTATAACGTAGGGAAAAACATTTGAAATCTTCAATACATGCATGCTGTCCTATAAAAAAGTGGAAATGATTATGGCTTAATTTATGAAAACTGCACTCATGTAGGAAATCAAATCGCAAATATTGACATATTTACTGTAAACTTTAAACTTATTTAGATGAAAACTAACATTGCAACCATTTAGACTTTATATGATAATTACACCATGCGAAAATAAAACTTTTTGCGCTCGTCCTTCTAGCCTTTTACGAAATGAAAAGAACATGTATGTCTATACTTGTAGGGAATATTATCAGCTTCAACTCTGAGTGTTTTCCATAAATCACATGGACAGTTTTAGATAGATTGAAAGCTCCTCTTCTATCCCTGCGTGGACAACCATCTGTCACGTGATTCGTGGAAAATTGATTTTTGATGTTTTCAGGAGTCTCCCTTAGCTCAGTCGGTAAAAGCGTAGCTACAAAGCAAAACCATCCTGTAGGTGGCTGGGTTCGATTCCCGGTCCGGTCTAGGAACTTTTCGGGTTGGAACATTTTTCGACTTCCCTGGGCATAGAGTTTGATTGTACTTGCCACACAATTATACTAATGCAAAAATGGTACACGCATCGAAAGCTCTCAATTAATAAATGTGGAAGTGCATCTAGTAGAGCACTAAGTTTTGAACACGCAATAAGCTAATATGCGATAAGCAATAAGGTTGAAATGCGAGGAAGAGGAAGAATAAGAAGAAGCAGAAGCAGAAGCAGAACCAGAAGAAGAAGCAGAAGAAGAAGAAGGAAAGCGTCAAATGGAATAGTTATGATTTATTAATCCTTAAGCGAAGCTAACCCCACTCTTATCATTGACGTATTGACAATACGATCATTGCCAATAAAAGCAGTCGAGTAGGGCCCATTTTAGGTTTATTGCATTGTGTTCAGATTTTTGCTCATATTATTTAATAAAGACTATCTTGTTATCAGATGTCATACATATTATTTCAAGTAAAAGTTTGAAGTATTGGGAATCAGATAGCCTTCCCAACAAACAATCGCCTATTGAAGAAACGACTTCTTGACCATTTTATTTAACTGCATGCTTAATAATAATTGTACTATTTTTAATAATAACTTCTGTTGTGGTTTTGTTCACACAAATCTAGAGAACTTATTCAACCACAACATTGAGCTACTTCGTGTTGTATAAGGTATGTCGAGAAGCTTTTACTCGACTCACATGAGTTGTAACAGAGCTTATCCGATCAAATGTTTGATTACTCAGCGTTTATTAGACATCATTGATTCCTTGAACAGTGATGATACCATAATCAAAAAGATGTATTTACGCTTGATTTTCATGTGAAGTAACGTTTAATTAGACACTATTATATATTTATTAAACGATGATTCAACTACGGGATAATTAATCCGAAAATAATAACGGGAGAAGAGCAGGGTGACTAGTTGGTGTTTGTTGTACTCTTTTCCTCTCTCTCTCTCTCTCTCTCTCTCTCTCTCTCTCTCTCGTTAGTGATTGTTGTCATTATTTCTGTCACACGCACCCACACAGAACTAGAACATTTATTACAAACATACACATTCACACGTCGTTCCATGGGATTTCAAACCATGACCTCCCGATCACGAGCCGCTTGCCTTGCCATCTGAGCTATCCTAGAATACATCATATGGGTAGCTAAGTAATCAATAAAAGTTTGAATCTGAATAGGGTAGAGAACTACTTCGGCCTAATCGCCCATTTTGGGCCTATCGAGCAGAAAACTTCAAATAAATCCATGATTTCGTAGTTAACAAGTCAATTATGCGTTTGGTACGAGGTTTGCACCCATTATTCTCAAAAACAATAGAAACGCTCTGACTGAATCAATTTTTATCTTCATCCGATAGGCCGAAGTGAATTCATTGGCGTTTCAATGGCGTTTCAATGGCGTTTCAATGCGTTAGGCCGAGTTTAAAATCCTTAGACCGAGTTTGGCGTCAAGAAGCAGTGTTAGACTTTTGACAATATCTCAACGATTGGTTGCTCTTTATCAAATCTTACGTGTTCCATTTGGTGAATTTTAACTTACACTTGAACGATAGGAAATTTTCAAATAAGCCTGCTATTGTACCAGACTTATTTCTGGCAAACCAGGAATAAATTTTGACAAACACCTTCTCGAAAATCACAACAACAACAAACAACAGAGAGATTTTCGAACATTATAATTTATTTTCGAAATGTCAAATTTTAGTAACATAAATTATAATGTTTGAAAATCCCTCTGTTGTTGTCCGATTTTTGAGAAATTGTTTATCAAAATTGATTCCTGGTTTGTCTGAAATAAGTCTGGTAGAATAGCAGGATTATTTGAAAATTTTCCAACTGTCAAATATAAGTTAAACTTCACCAAATGAACCGCAGCCTAAATGTAGGGGGTTGACAGCTATAGCTATACTCCTAGTCCCACCATCGAATGGCATTTGCTAGATAAGATGAGGTTGCGACATAATTAAACAAATAAGCTCTGCAAACAACGCTCTTTGAAAACAATTTTATGAATATGTGCAAGAATGAAAAAGGAGGACATTTTCGGGCAAAAGGAGGATGTAGAAAAATTATTCAAAAAGGAGGACATGTCCTCCTTTAGGATACCATATGGTAACCCTAATCATAGCCAGCAAGAAGAAGGTATAGTCTGAACGCCGTACAAGACATGATCAAAAAGCTACTTTTCGGACAACGCTGTATTTTTACTATTGTTACTGAATGATCCAAGTAGGTCACGTTGAATATTTGACACATTTGAATTTTGCTTCCGTGTTTTCTTTTGTGTTTCAATTAAAAAAAAATAAAGTTTCTTGCAAAGATGTGTTCTTTTATTGAGAGTATTGGATCTGAGAGTGCAGTTTGAGCTGCTTTGGTTATGTGGGACAACATCAGAAGGTTCATAGTGACACTTAGCAATGCCGGTGCGTTTAACCCGATGCACTTCTTACCGACACCAGCAAAGAGACACGGATTTTCTTATTATCATGATCAAGGAGATGGTACTGCATTAGGGCTAACAATTGAT